TCCTTGTCCAAGGATCAGTGCTTTTATTCTAACACAGTTTGTTCTAACAAAGGATATACTGAAGCATTGTCAGTTTGGGGAATAGCCCACAGCTGTTCAGGTGTTTGGCCAACAGGAGGCAATAAAATGCCCTGAGCCGAAACCGGTTTGGCTCAGTGGTAGAGCGTCGGTCTGCGGACTGAAAGGTCCCAGGTTCGATTATGGTCAAGGGCATGTACATTGGTTGCGGGCACGTCCCCAGTAGGGGGTGTGCAAGAGGCAGCTGGTCGATGTTTCTCTCTCTCTCTCATCAATGTTTCTAGCTCTCTATCTCTCTCCCTTCCTGTCTGTAAAAAATCAATAAAAATATATTAAAAATAATAATAAAATTTAAAAAATAAATAAATAAAATGCCCTGAGCTGTCTGGCAGTTAATCCTATTCAAGTTTGGGGGAAGTGCCGTTTAGCCATTTCCAACAGGTAAATTACATATGTGGCTCACCCGTGTTGAGCCTCCCAAGCTTCACCAACCTTTTGGTGAAACTCTTGTAATTATTACATGCTGGAATTGGTTCCCGGCAAAAAGTCATAGGGAAGTCTGGCTAGCTTGGCTCAGTGGATAGAGCGTCGGCCTGAGGGCTAAAGGGTCTTGAGTTCAGTTCCAGTCAAGGGCACCTACCTTGGTTGCAGGTTTAATCCCTGGCCCAGGTCGGGGCCACTGTGGGAGGCAACAACCCATGTCTTTCTCACATTGATGTTTCTCTCAGTCTCTCCCTCTTCCTTTTGCTCTCTCTACAGAAAAAAAAATCAATGGAAAAACATCCTCGGGTGAGGATTAACAACAACAACCACAGTAATAGGTCAAATCAAAGGGCCGGCCAAAAGCAGTTTGGCTCAGTCCCAGGTTCGATTCCGGTCAAGGGCATGTACCTTGGTTGCGGGCACATCCCCAGTGGTGGGTGTGCAAGAGGCAGCTGTTTGAGATTTCTCTCTCGTCGATGTTTCTAACTCTCTATCCCTCTCTCTTCCTCTCTGTAAAAAAATCAATAAAATATATATATATATATATATATATATATTTTTTTTTTAAATCAAAGGGCCGCCCAGGGCAGTGGGCCGAGGAGGGAGAGGCTGGTGAGAGGGTGATTATGCTGAGGCAGACAAGCCTTCCTGGAGCCTGCGTTCTCCGCGTTTGACTTGGGCCTTGGAGGCCGGCAGGATGTCGGTGGACGGGGGTGTGGAGGATGCAGCAGGGGGCAGGGGACAGAACCAGGAAGGGTTGGGCCAAGGTCAGAGCTCAGTTCCTTCCGGGGAGAGGCCATGAGGAACCTGCTGAGGGGCGCCGGGAGGCGGCAGGAGTGGTGGGCCGCAGAGGGGGCAGGGTGTGGGTCAGCCGGAGGCAGCTGAGGCAGACACGGCTCAGAACCCGGAGCCATCACAAACAGCTCGGGGCTGCCAGGCTCCTTTGGTTTGTCCAGAGAAGCCAGAAATCTGGATTTTTATGTGAAATCTGACTTTTCAGAGTTGGCAACCCATTCAAATTCTTCTGAAGCGCCGTGCTCAGCCAAACCAAACATGTCTGCAGGCGGCATCTGCCCAGGCGCCCGCTCGCCAGTGGTGGGGGAGATCATGGTGCGGGGCAGGCATCCTGTGACCAACATGGGGGCGGGGGGAGGGCAGAGCTGGCCGGGGGCTTGTGGGCCCGGCTGGGGGCTTGGCTTTCCCGGGGACCATGGGGGCTGGAGGAGCCCGGAGGGCAGCTGGGCTGTCTCAGACCCAGACCCGGGGAGGCAGCCTCTGGCGCCCTGCGGGTGGGGCAGGTTCAGTGCTGCAGGTCTGCCTGGGACTCGGTGAAGGACAAGTGACCAGACACCTGCTCAGGTTGACTCAAGTCAAAGTGGGCAGCCCGGCCTGTGGGGTTCAGTGGTTGAGCGTCGATCTATGAACCAGGAGGTCAGGGTTCAATTACTGGTCAGGGGACAGGCCTGGGTTGTGGGCTCTATCTCCAGTGTGGGCTGTGCAGGAGGCAGCTAATCCATGATTTTCTCTCATCATGGATATTTCTATCTCTCTCTTCCTCTCCCTTCCTCTCTGAAATCAGTAAAAAACATTTTAAAAAACCAGAGGGGCGGAGCTGGGAGGAAGCAAGGCCAGGCACAGAGCTGCCTTCTCCGCCCCCCTCTTTGCTCTAGGGCCCTCTCCATTGGCCAGCGGCTTCTGTGGGTCCCCTCATTTTTGCGCCCCAACAATTGCAGGGTTCTGTGTCCACTCAGACGGACTTCCCATGATTCCCTGGTTCCAGGGCCCAGAAGTCGTCTGTCTCCATTCAGGTTCCCAAGGCAGTGAGTCTCATTGGCCAGGCCCACGCGACTCTGTCCGAGTCATGCCATCCCCTGGGACGGCATGTCCCCCTCACCAGGCCCGCCGGCTCTGCGGGGCTGGAGGTGAGCAGCTCGCCAGAGGGCGGCTCCCGGCAGGCCTTGATGGGGAAGACCAGTTCCCGTGCCTGAGCCTCCCCAGGCCCCAAAGGCCCTTTCCGGCCCCTCATGGTGTTCTGGTTTGGGGTCTCTGAGAAGCTCAGCTGCAGGCCCCAGGAGGCTGATGGAAGGCTGGGTCTCAGGGGAGCTGGGAGCTGGGAACTGGGAGCAGTGTCTGCGGAGGACCAGGCTGAGCACCTTGGAGGGGCTGAACCCAAGTCAGAGGCCAGAGGTCAGCTGGGGAGAGCCCCAGGGCCTGGAAGAACGTCCGAACCCCACAGGTCAGCCACCCGGGGTGACTGTTGGTGGCCGTGGTGCCCAGCCCTGCAGTGGCTGTCATGGTGGGACCGAGAGAGCGGGGAAGGCAGTTCCAGACCCCGTGGGGGAGGAAGTAGCCTGGAGCCCACGGAATTTAGAGTCAGAACCCCAAACTCTTGGGGGCATGGGGCATATGACCTTGACTTCATCCCCAGCGTTTCCAGAACCCAGGGATCTGGAGTCGAAAGATCCAGATCTTGTCTGGCGGAGTCTGATAGGCCCCAAGCAGGGTGCGTGGGGAACTCCCCCCACACACACAAAGCTGACCAAGGGGCCAGTTCTCCACGGGAACCCAGATGGTAGACGGAGCTGCTGGAGTTGTGGTAGAGAATGCTGCAAAAAAAAAACACAAAACAAAACAAAAAACAAAAACAAACAAACAAAAAAGGATCCTCCCCCTCCCTTAACCAGTCTTAACCGGCTCCCTCCTGCAGGCGGTCTGGGTGGGGCCAGCAGGACCATGGACCCAGGGACCCTTCAGGGCCCGCCCCGGCATGGCACATGCGTGTTTACTGAGTGGATCCAGAACCCACAAGCTGTGGGGCCCACACAGTTCCAGGCGGGAAGCCGCCGAGGGTCCCGCCGCGGCTCGGCCTCTCCCCGCGCCGGGGCAGGCCTGGGTGTGGGCCTCCGGGGGGGTCCCCAGGGCTGACCCTGTGCGGCAGGCACCGCTCTGGCTGAGAGGTCCGCGGTGAAGGGAGCCTTGGGGAGAGGGACCCCGGTGCCACTGGCCACCGGACTCCCATGCCTGGGTCTCTGGCGACAACCCGGGGTGGGGGTCGGGGGTCTGGGGATGCCCAGCCTCCTGACCGGCCGCTGGCTGTTGTGAGCACGTGTGTGCGCTTCTGTACATGCTTGTACTTCCGTGAGGTTTTCAGCGCCAGCCAGCGAGGGATGGCAGCACACGGGCAGCAGCCACCATGCAGTACGGTCCATGGGCCTGACCACCTCTGGCCCTTTTCTAAGCGGGAGGGGGTGGGCGCGGGGCGCGGGGCGCCGTCCTGGCCGCACATCCACGCGGAGGCCCCTCTGGACCCGGAGACGCAGCAGGGGAAAGCCTCTCCCCCTCCCTCCCCGGAGGCGGAAACGTCTCCCCCCATCGAAGCGGGGGGGCGGGGGGCTGTGGGGGGCTGGGCTCCTGGTGGGGGGCCGGGGCCGAGGGGGCGGAGGGGCCGCCTTCGGGGTCACACCGCCCCATTCCCACGGGGTCCGGTGGGGAGCGCGGCGCTGGCCGGGGACGCCCCGCGGGGGAGGCGCGGGCCGGGGCGCCGGGGGCGGGGCCGCCGGGAGGGCGGGGCCAGCGCTCCCCGGGCCCCGCCCCCGAAGGCGGAGCCGCGCGCCCGCCCCTCCCGCCGCCCACCTGCCCCGCCTCCCGCCGCCGAGGGTCCCGCCGCGGCTCGGCCTCTCCCCGCGCCGCCGCCGCCGCCGATCCCGCCGCCCCCGGGCCGGCCCGCCGCGCCCCGCCGCGCCCCGCGCCCGCGCCCATGGGTGAGTGCGGGCCGCGCCTGCAGGCCGCGCCTCCGCGCCGGCTCCGGGGGGCAGGGGCGCCGCGATGGGGGCGGGGAGAGGGGCCCGGCCGTCGCTCCCCTCCCGGCGGGCGCTCGGCGGCCCCCTCCTCCGGGGAGGCCTGCGGAGAGGGAGGTGGACGCCGGATCGGGATCGGGCGGCGGGTCCAAGCCCTGCCCCCCGTTGGGGTTCTCGTCGGCAGCACCTCCCCCCAGCCCTGCCCGCCGTCCGGGGTTCTGGGGGGGCGGCTGGGGGGCCCGGGGCTGGGTCACAGATGGACGGTGGGTGAGGGGGACCCTCTGGGCCTCGGAGGAGCGTCCCTGCACAGTGACGTGGAGGCAGGGTGGGAATGGCTGTGGGCCCCCTGGGCCCCCCAGCAGCCCTGCAGGACCCCCAGGAAGCCAGGGGCCCCAGGTCTGGGAGCAGCGCCCCCCCCCCCCCCCCAGACCTGCGGGCCGGAGGGCGGCGCGGGCAGCGCTCGCGGTGGAATCTGGACAGCTTCCCCGGGGAGCGGAGCAGAAAGGGCTGCAGATTCCCCGGCAGATAAGCTGGCAGCGAAAAAAGAGGGACACTGACCTCCTCCCAGGGAGGCTGGAGGCGCAGCCCCACCCAGCCTCCGCCCGGAGGTGCTGGGCCCTGGGGAGCCCGGTGCGCGGCCTGGGTGCCCCCTCCCTGGCCCCACCCCGCTGATCACCGCCCCTCTCCCCTCTCTCCCTGCAGATGCCGGGAGCCTGGCCGAGGAGCAGGGCCTGCGCTGTCAGAACCCCAACTGCATGGACAAGGGGCGCGCGGCCAAGGTAGGGGCTGGAGGCCGGGGGGGCTGCGGAGGGGCAGGGGTGCAGAGGGGCGGGGGGTGCAGAGGGGCGGGGGGGGGTGCAGAGGGGCGGGGCACTCGCCGGCCTCTGTCCAGGCCCCAGCAAGGGCGCAGCTGGGTCGCCCCCAGCTCAGGAGCGGGTAGGGAGCGGGGGGCTGGTTTTGGAGGCCCAGGGCTGCCCCAAAGCCTTTTCCTGGACCGCAGTTGGTGCAGCAGCCGTGGGGTGACAGGGCCCTGACCCCATGTCACAGATGAGGAAGCTGAGACTGTGGGGGAGGCCCCCAGGTTCTGTTCCGGGGCCAGCTGGCACCCTCCCTGCAGTCCCGGGTCAGGGACGCTGTGGGACGTGGCCGTGGCCCTGGGACTGACCGAGGGGAGGGTGCTGGTCCCGGAGAGCCAGGCCCCCCGAGCTGGGTCTGAGGCGGAACCGGGGGTCACGGCCAACAGGACGCCGCGCTTCTGCCCCTGACGTGCCAGGCGCCGTGCCAGGCGCACTCTGCGCCTCACGTGCCCCTGGGGAGCCCTGCTGGGGAGACATCACGTTCCCCGATGAAGGCCCCGAGGCTTGGAGAGGCCTGTGCCTGGGCCGGAGCCCTGCAGCCCCAGAGAGACCCAGCCAGGGTCTGAGCCCACGTCGGGACGGATCTGAGCGACAGGTGGTGGCTGCCGCTGCCTCCTGCGCGGGGCTTCCTTCCGGCCGAGACCTGCCCTGCCGTTTGCACATGGGGAAACTGAGGCTCAGGGAGTAGTGGCTCCCCCAGGGACGTGCTGCTGGGATGTGGTGAAGCTGGGATTTGAACCCAGAGCCCAGACCTGTTTCATGCCAGAGCCCGGGGTAGCTCGGCTCTGCCAGCGCAGGAAATGAAAAACATCACTCCCCCATGCCCCCCCCAGACACACAGCACACACGCCGCACGGGGGGACCAGCCAGCAGGAACAGGCAGGAGGAACCGGGGGACTGTTCCCGGTGGGAGCGGAGGGGGAGGCCGCCAGTTGCCGTAGTCACCAGGCAAGGGGGTGTCTGTGATTCAGATGATCTGCTGGCACGGATGGCGCCTGGCATTGGCGCTTTGGTTTTGGCAGGCTGCCTCGCTCCCAGACGGGGGCTCCTGGCAACAAATTGGCCTCATTGCCCCACTGCCCAACCTGCCAGGGGCCTGCACGGCCTTGGGGCTTCTGCCTGACCCTGAGGCACCCTGTCCTGGCCCCTCTGGTGGGCAGCCGCCCCGGGGGCAGATCCTGGAGCAGGGGCAGGGATGGGAGGGCCTGGACTGTGCAGAGGAGAGGCCTGTGGATGAGGGCTGGTTTCAGAGCAACTGGGGGACCTCTGCAGCCACAGGTCCTAGCTGAAGCCCGGCCTGGGCCTGCCTGGAACTGGGCAGTGCTGACCGTGGCATCCGCAGCCAGAGGGCTGCCCCGCCTGCAGGGGGAAGAGCTGAGGCACCATCACTGGTGGGACCCACTTTGGGACAAAGGGCACAGGCTCACCTCAGGGACCTGAGTGATCAGAGGGAGGAGGGCTAGTCAGGGAGGACTTCCTGGAGGAGGCGGCCCCTGGTGAAAGTAAAAACATCCCTAGGCGAGCAGGAAGGGAGAACTGCCACAGGCAGGAGTACGAAGGCAGTTGTTGCCAAGCCGAAGGGATGAGGTGGCTGGAGGAGAGGCTGAGAGGAGGAGCCAAGACTATCCTGTTGTTGATGATAATAATACCCACCGCTGACTGGGGGGTGTCAGGCCCTCACTGAACCCGTATGAGAACTTCAGGAGGGAAGCGTTATGGGTCCCTCATGGCACGCGAGGAAATGGAGGTTCCGAGAGGCGGAAGGACTTGCCCACAGCACACAGCTTGGCTGGCACAGCGTGGCGGGAGTGAGAGCCGGAGCCTCCCCCGGGCTAGCTGTGTCAGGAGCCGCCTGCCGGGTACATGAGCTCTCTGAAGGAGGTGACATCACTCGTTCACTCACCAAATCAGCTTTGAGCGTCGGCCGGTCCGAGGCCCTGGAGGTGTCCCGGAAACCGAGGTCCTGCCCTCCTGGAGCTGACATCCTGTGCCCCTGGAGGAGACGGAAGTGAGGACTCCGCTTGGCCAGCTGCCCCCGGGCCGCCCTGGGGCAGGGCGGTCTTCCCGCAGGGCCGGGCGCTTCCTTCTGGGCCTGGAGGCTGGGCTGGAGTCTCTCCTGGGCGCTGAGGCTTCTGACATGAATCAGCTGCCCCACCTCTACCTCCTCCCTCTGGAGTTCACCGAGGGCTGGCACCCTGAGGAACGCGGAGCTGGAGGTGGAGGGAGCGGGTGAGCTGGCGGGGTGTGTGGGGTTTGTGGGCAGGGACGGGGTGGGGAGAGGGAGGCAGAGCTGGGTGGGAGCACCGTGTGGACCGTCTGCTTGGGGCCTCGGGTGAAGGAAGGCGTGCGGCCGGGCCGAGAGGCTCAGTTGGTTGAGCATCATCCTGTGTGTCACTCAGAACCAGCCACACGCAGCTTAGGGTTTGACTCCTGGTCGGCATGCCCTCGGGCGAGGATTTCTTTAAAGCCGTGCGGAGTGGCCCACGTCTGTGAGCTCCCGAGTCCCAGCCTGCCCCCTCCCAGCGGCGTGACCGGGCATTCCCTCCCTCTCTCTCCGCCTGGGCTTCCCGAGGGGTCGTGCTGAGGACGAAAAGGGCTCGAACGCGGGGTGCCTGGCACGGGCTGGCGCCTGTAGGTGGTCAAGAGCCAGCAGTGACCACACGCTCACCCCCACCGAGGGGGAGAGACCCCAGGCCTCGGGCGCACTTCCTTCTCCCCACTAAGAGCTGAGACACCCGGGTGCCACCCCAGACCCTGGCCGGCCCCGCCCGTGGACACAGGTTTGGGGTCCGTCTGTCCTGTTCCCAGGGCGAGTGGAGCTCAGGGTCTGGGGAGCTGGGGAGTGGTCTCTTTCTCCCTCCCTCACGGAGGGCCAGTGTGGAGCTGATGGGGGTCCCCGTTCTCCGGCAAGAGCCCTGCTGGCCAGACAGTGTCCGGCCCCCTGGCGCTGGGCTCTTTGGTCAGGGTCGGGTCTGTTGAAAGAGGGTTGACGCTGGCGCCGGAGACACTGGGCTCAGGCATCGGAGGGGGCGGAAAGCTGGGCAGTGCCTGGCGTGGCCCCCGTGTCATCCTCAGACAAAAGTGTTGGCTCCTCAGCCCCCGTTCACTCAGCTGGGGGCCTGTGTCCGGCTTCCCCGGGGGACCCCAGCTGGCCCTCGCACCCCTGCCTTGCAGTAGGCCCCACCCCACCTCCTTCAGACAGGACAGGGGGACGCAGCGGGGGACGTGAGTAACCGGGGCAGGTCCAGCGAGTCTGTCCTCCGCCTCGCGTTCCTGAGGCGCCAGCGGGAGGACGGAGGGTCTGTTTTCTATGTGGCTCCCCAGGGCCCTGGCCGGGAGGCGAGCTCGGGTTCAGAGAGGCCGGAGTTTGCAGCAACGGAAGCTGGTCCCCGACAGGCGGGTACTGAGCACCCCCTGCCTCGAAGGATTAAGCGGGCAGAGTGGGCAGGGATGGGGGGTAGGGGGGGGCGTGCCGAGGGGAGGGGCGGCCAGATGAAGAGCCACGGACACAGGCAGAGGAAGGGGTGGGTCTGAGGTCCCCGTGGAGGAAGAGGGAGCAGGATGCAGTGAATAATGGGAGAGCTGGCCACGCACTCCTGGGGATTAGGGGTGGAGCGTGGGGTGCCCGGGGTCCCTGGTCTGCTTAGATGCTGGTCCGCTGAGGAAGGCGGCAGTCCGGTCTGTGCCCAGACAGAGGGGTAGGACCAGAGAAGCAACGCCCGTGGAACTCCTGGGCGTTGGCTAAGTCCGGGGTCGGCAAACTGCGGCTCGCGAGCCACCTGCGGCTCTTTGGCCCCTTGCGTGTGGCTCTCCCACAAAACACCTCGGCCTGGGCGAGTCTGTGTTGAAGAAGTGGCGTTGGAGAAGTTTACGTGTAGAAAATGTGGCTCTCCAGAGAAATGTCGATCGTTGTGCTGTTGGTGTTTGGCTCTGTGGACTCCGGAGTTTGCCGGCCGCTGGGCTAAATAATTGGGACGGGGAGGAGGAGAGACACAGGTGGAGGCCTGGGGTACTTGGCCCTGGTGTGGACCCAGCCCCCAGGAAGGCAGCCCCTGCCGGGAGGGGGCTCCAGGCGGGCTCAGTGAGGGCCGAGGGGTGCGGTCTGTGGTTGGGAAAATGCAGGAGGGACAGGATCTGCCACTGCACCCACCTCTGGGGAAGGAGGAGGGCGAGCTTGGGGCCAGGCTGCTGCCTCCCCATGGGTGCCCCGTCACCCCACGCACCGCCTTCACCCCAAGTTCCAGGCAGAGAGGGAGCCACCACGGGGCGGAATGGCCCCTCTGCAGCCCCCTCTGCAGCCCTGCGTGAGCCAGGAGAGAAGAGGGGGGACAGAGACGGCCAGACGGGTTTTGCAGGCGCCACGGAGGCGCAGCTCCGAATCCAGCCGTTCACAATGGGAGGCAGCGAGCCGCGCTTGGGGTGAGTCCCAGGGCGGCTCTGCCTGGACCCCGGGGCCCTCTCGCCGGCCAGGACAGCGTCCTGCCGCGGGGCCTCCCAGGATGGGCCGCTCCTGCCTCTCAGCCCAGGTTCAGGGACTTAGAACTTTCCGGAGATCTGTGAAGGGCCAGCCCTCTTGGGGACAGTGACACCCTCCCTCCCCCACTTCCGCTCCCTGCAGCCCGGACCCCAGATGACTCCCTGAGCGCCAGCAGGGCTTCCTGCCACCCCCTGGGCCGGCCGGGTCTGCCACCTGGGCCTGGCACTCCTGTCCCCACCCGCCGGGTGCAGGATGGTACGTCCCGCCCCGCCCAGGTGGTAGCGCCCGGCCGTCTACCGTAATTCCCTTATGTGTGGCGCCCGCCCTGCCCACGGCTCCGGTGCCCCTGGCCCTGTGAGCCCAAGGGGACTGGCCAGTCTTGGCCTGGGTTCCAGCCACAGGGAGGAGACCCAGGTCCCTCGGTGAGTCTCCCAGGGAAGCGGGG